TTTTTTTTTTTTTCAAAAAATGTCAATTTTTTATTAAATTGCTAAAAGACAAAGTGTGCTATAGAACTATTTACGTCGAACTAAAGCCAGTTTTCTAATAGATGACTATTATGCGAAAAGACATGCTATGTTTAAAGAAGTAAATTTCATTATTTATAAAGAAAGAAAAATCATAAGTCAAGATGACGTCCCGAAATTTAAATATAAGCTAGAAATCACATTATATTTTACACCGACAGAACTGAATTGAGAAAAATATCTGGAAAACGCAAGACTGCAGTGTTTTTGAATAATTCTACATGTGACGTAGATCTATATCTAGCAAAAAGATAAAGGTGTCGAAAATTTTATTAATGGGCCCTAGCCGTGGAGCCTCACGTCCTTTTGCCTACACATGAAGTCCAGTAAAAAAGGATGCCAACATCGGCAGGCCCTATACCAAATCTAAAAAAAATGGCAGAATGTTTCATTAAGACCAACAGCATTATTTCTTTAGTTGTAGACTTATTTCTATAAATTTCCTTGATTTTATGTGAATAAACTAATATTGTATTCATTCTGTCTTTTTAGCCTGCTCCAGAGGGTAAGTTTGCGTTATGCCAGTAATTTATCTTGCTACTTTTTAATCAACTTATCTTTATAAAGACATATACTATGTCAATATTCCTTAGCACGCATATTTTTAAAAACTTATATGAAAACTTTTGTCTTAAAACATACTTTGAAACCAAGGAGCTCCCAATTGTTTGAAACGGTGTTCATAAGTAAAACAGCAAACTCAGCAAACAAGGTTTGAGGGGATACGCGCATGCGTGTCTTGTGACCTCTTTCTCACGGTCGTCTCTCGCAGCATTCACCTACAATGTGTGGCTTGCAGTACTTAGAAAGTTGTAGGGTGTAGCGTTGAAGGCGAGATTTACACAGAAAGAGAGGTCATCTATAGGTCCGAGTACATATTGTATATGTTAGCCCAGTTGGCTGCCAAAGGGAAAATGAGGAAGAAGAAATGGCTCGTGCAGCGGCGGCTGGTAGTACTACCCGTAGTAGATCTACTACTACTGACCACTACTACTACGAGTACAGTAGTACTACTATTAATGTTGCTATAGTCAGCTGGCTAGTACTAGCCGGTGACTATTGGTAGTACTGGTAATGTGGTATTATTGCTACTGGCGTTCACTTATGATGTAGTAACTATTGCACAAAATAGTAGGTTAAAGATAATAGTATGTTTTTATAATATCTGCATTTTTTAAATAATGTTGTCATATGTTGATTTATAATAATAATAGGGGTTTTGTACCACACTGTCTTATCTTACTTCTATGATATAAATTTAGGATATTTTTTGCAAGTTTAGATTTCAGCCCATTGTAATATATAATACATTATGATTTGCCTCAGTTTTTGGCCTTACATGCTATAGTACCCTTACAGCAGGTAAGGCTGAACCCCGGTTAGTGTTTCAAACTTAAGTGTCTTAAATCTTAAATATCCACATCCTGACAAAACTAGTGTTTATAAAGGACCATTCCCACAGATATTTGGATCGATCTATCTCCCTGGGGAGTCTCACTAAATTATTATCAAACTAACTGGCTTTAACGTTTGTCACACCTAGTAAAGCTGTTAGGGGGTAATTAGCTTTACCCCTAGCTGATTTGTTAGGCATGACAGACATTTAAGCCTCTTGAGCTGATAGCAATTTAGTGTGAACCCCTAGGGAATTAGGTTGAACCCAGTCTAACACTAGGCAGGGTGAGGTCTTACCAGTGGTAGGGGTACTGAGGAAGCATGTAAGACCATTAACTGAGGCAAAATAAGACAGAGGGCAATAACCACCAATGATGTCAACATCCAGTTGATGACCCCTGTAAATTAAAGGTTATCATTTTATTCATTTTCAGTCTCCAAATATAGTAACATTTTTATATTGCCCTTGGACTAGTCATAATTGTCAATTAACTACTATTTTTTAGTGTGCAGTAGTCAAGCAGTTGATCGCCAATGCATTATCAGTGGCAATAACTTTTGTCAAGGTATGATATCCAAATAATTTCAGAAAATTGTCTTGCCAATTAATATACAAGTCTATATGTAATAAAAAATAAGTAATTCCTTATGTTTAGTAGTACTTACCATCATTTACATATGACAACCAATTTTTTAAATGACCGCCACTGCTTTTTAAAGTTAGTAGGCTTTTTTCACCCCATATGAAAAAAATGATAATAACAATAAAATCAGATGCACCTTAACCTGGTCTCTACTATTCCAGGCACACCCTTTGACAATCAGGGTTATGGTTTTGTGCTGATGTTCAATGAGCACTACACTCGGGTGGGAAACCCATACAATCCTTTCCTGGTCATTACTAATGCTGAAACAGAAAATGTACAGGTAGGATGAAAAGTTATGGACAAAACATGGTATGCTTTTCTTCTAAATTATGAATTTAATATGCCCCATACTTCCCATTTGAATTTTTTTCAAATTGCAGAAAAGGGACGAAAACTAAAATATAGCCCTCTTGGCTCAAACAGTGGCCATTCTACACGTAAAAAGTTAATCAAATTGCATTTAGGTAATTGTCCTAATTATATAGATCTTGCAACTTGAAACCTCTTTTTCCTTATTCTGGATGACACAGTTTCACTGTATAGTATTGAGCTATAAATGTGTGTATATACTCAACTAATAAATCCCAGCCTAACCAATTTAAAAATTACCTTTAGGTGAATGTAACAACTCCACGCTGGAGCAGCCCAAGTGTAAATGAGCAATTCACATTGGCCAGTGGTCAGTATCGTACCGTGAGTATTCCACAAGAGCTCCGCATGCAGCAGTCAAATCTCTCCACCAAGGCCATCTTGGTCCAGTCAAGCGGGGAGGTAGTTGTCCAGGGTGTGAATTCTGAAGAACGCTCTACAGGCATGTTTCTTGCTCTTCCAATTGATGCCATTGGCAGTGAGTATTATGCAGTGTGCTACAGCCCTGCTTTCCTTCATTGCCAGTTTGGTATTGCTGCAATACAGGATGGAACAGAGGTCTCGATATCTTTACCTTCTCCACTGCCTTCCGGTCAAATAGTGCAGGTGACTTTTCAGGGCACAACATACTATAGTGGACAAACAATCCGCCTGACCCTCAGTGCCTATGACACCGTCCAAATACAGGCTGCTCACGACCTGACTGGTTCTCATGTCGTAACCAACAAACCTGTGAGCTTCTTCAGTGGGAACAGGCATACAAACATTGACCAAGGTCTAGGTGGACAAACAAAAGATCACACTGTAGAAATGCTCCCACCAGTATCTGCCTGGGGTAAAGAGTTCATCACTTTCCAAATTCCAGACAGGACAGTATTTAATCCTGGGGACAATTTCAGGGCTGTGGTTTCCAGTCTCAGTCAAACATCGCAACTAAACCTGACAGTGGGCTCCAGCAACATATACCCAGCAGTGCCCAATGGGTTTTCATATGCCCAGTTCCTGGTTGGCCAAGGTAGCCAAAACACTTATGCCTATCTGTCATCAAACACTCCAGTAATGTTGGCTGAATTTATTGTAAGTATGATAGCTACCAATGAGCTAGCAGATCCTTCTATGATCTATCTGCCACCTGTTTCATTGTACAGGAATGAATACACGTTCACTGCCCTGGAAAGATCTCTCAGCACAAACAATCTTTTTGTCAACACAATTATTATTGTCAGTCCTTTGTCGGGCCGTGGTGACATCACATTGGACGGGAATGCCTTACCAGCAATAACATGGACAAATGTTGATGCAGGGGGTGTCATATACAGTGCGGGATTCTTTACCATCAGCGCCGGCTTTCACAAACTGAGTCATCCCAAAGTGAACCATTATTTTGGAGCAGTGCTGTATGGAAATGTTCTGAATGATACAGTAGCCCCAGAATCCTATGCAACTGCTATTGGCATGAGGCTGTCCAGGGTTAATGAAGTAAGTCTATATCCTGAGAAGTACAAATAATACTGCCTTGTTTCATTGAAAGGTACATGTGAAACATCCAGATTTTTTTAATATAATGACAATACAATTAGGTATCTATAATTATAATTTGGATTATTTCTTCTATACATTGCCTTGCCCTAGAGTAAGTGAAAAGGCACAAAAGTTATTCAATTTTATATTATTTGTAGCCTTGTGGATGCAATGTCACTACAACAGCCCAGTTCCAAGCCGATGGCATTGACAATGATTGTGATGGGCGGGTTGATGAGGAAGACTGCAGTAATGCAAATACAGGTATATTATTTCATTGATTTGTGTTCATGCATATTTTATTATTATAACCCTACTTTTCTTAAAAAGTTCGGAATTTTGATAGCCTCACATGAGACTTGTGTGATCTTTACCAATTTATTAAATTATGTTTGGAATGTATTTCTTGAATCAGTATGAGCGTGTTATACTTTGAAGCATGTTACAATATGAGACTCTTTCTTTGTCAGATGAAGATGGTGATGGAAGACAGAATGAGGATTGCGCCACACCTTCAAAAGGTATGAGAGTCATTTTTTTAACCATGGGTGGATCTAGGGCTCCCTTGGTGTGTGTGTGTGTGTGTGTGTGTGTGTGTGTGTGTGTGTGTGTGTGTGTGTGTGTGTGTGTGTGTGTGTCTGTCTCATACCCCCACCCCTAAAAATGAAAAAGGTAGAACACCCTGTTGCACAACTTTATTATTTTGTCATTTCAAGGTTTGCAATTAGCAAAAGTTTAGCAACATAACAGTGTAAGATCAAATATGACCCAAGATATGTTTTCAACAACCTAGAATTAATGGGTGTTTTGGTCGTATTCCAACTTCCACAATTATTCATATTTAAAAACAATCCAGTAAATGCAAACATTTTCAAGTGCCCCAAAAATGCAAAAAAAAAAAAAAAACATCTTTATGTACTTTGAGCAACAGTCACATATTTTGCTGTATATATTAAGTGGATGGCCAGTGGTCTCAGTGGTCAAACTGGGGCACCTGTTCAGTGAGCTGTGGGGGTGGCAGCAGGAGTAGGACCAGGTCCTGTAGTGATCCAGCCCCAGCATTTGGTGGCAGCCCTTGCCCAGGATCCCCTCCAGACACACAGACTGATACAGAATCCTGCAATAGTAATGCCTGTCCAGGTAATATCTATACTCACAGCTCAAGAGATGTATGCTGGAAAAAATGAATATTAACTTAATTTAATAAAGTAAAAAAATATATATTATTAATTGTGTATTATAAGGGAACTCTTGTAGTACTAACCAGTAGCTGATTAAACTGATATATAGTTGTATATGTTTACCATTACAATTTTTGTCTAAAACAAGTTAGTGGACATTTTGTTATTGTTGTTTTACTGGCTGACTGCTGAATGATATTTTTGTCTGTTGCCTCAAGTGAATGGGAACTGGGGAGCGTGGCAAGCATGGAGTGCTTGCAGTGTAACCTGTGGATCTGGCACCAGGTCGCGCAGTCGCAGTTGCGATAGTCCTCCACCACAAAATGGTGGTAGTTCTTGTGTAGGCAGCCCCACAGAGAATGAGAATTGCAACGTTACGTGTGCAAGTAATGGCAGATTAAATTTTTTGCCTTCTGTTTTTCAAAATTTAACATCCGGTATTTTAGAGCCATCTGTTGTACATTTATTTCATGTAAATAATTTTTGTTCATTACTCAAAGCAAATTGTGAGTTTTTTTTTTTAATCAGATTATGAAAGTGGCTTTTGTGGATGTTAAAGAACCTTCATACCAGCATTTATACTACAAAATTAATTTTTCCTGCATCCAGTTGATGGAAATTGGTCTGAGTGGGGCCAATGGTCATCTTGCTCTAAGACATGTGGTAGAGGAATAATGACAAGAACACGCACTTGTACGAACCCACCTCCATCTGGTGGGGGTGCCAGCTGCATTGGAGCAGGCGTGGCAGAAAGTGAATGCAATATATTTGACTGTCCAGGTACCCTCAGTGAAATTGCTTTGTCTGGATCTCAATGGTTGGCTTTTAGCTAGACAGGTTGTTGCTTTCTGTGGCTTTATTTGGCTCTTTGGAGATGCAGTGCCTTAAACCAAGCTTGATACTACCCAAAAAGATTCATCATTAAAACTGGAAGCACTTTTTAACTAGCCACTTGATGTACATTTTTATTTTCCTTTTTAAAACTTGACGTTGTCAAGCCTTTTTACACCTGGCACACTACCCTTTACACCTGGCATATTACCTTTTTACACCTGGCGTAATATCTTTTCACACCTGGCAAACTACCTGTTTACACCTGGGATACTATCATATTTTCTTACCTGACATACATATTTTTACACTGGAATTACTATTCTTTTTAGACTATTTTTATTTCCCTTTTTCCCAGGGTATATCTGATCATTTTACATGTGACGCACAACTTTGGCTAAAAAATTACATTTTGAGTTCTTTTTTTTTTCATTAGAGTTTCAATGATACCTATTTCATTCTGCTTGTGTCATGTTGTATATTTTATGTTTATGAATATGTCTTTGTGCAAGAATGCAAGCCTTTTTGGACCATACTTGTCAAAACAGAATATAAAAAGTCACATATTTAAATAAACTTTTTTTTTTTTTTCAATTAGAAATTTGATGATGCACTTGGTTATTAATAAATGTTTGGACGGTGTCAGGCAATTAACTGAAGCTTATAGCACTATCACCAAAAAATAATTCTTAAACTTCACTGCAATTTCCTGGTAAAAATATCACTGCCCAGCAGTGTAGGTTGCAAGTTGCCTGTGTCTTATTTTAATCTTAAAGACAACTGATATGCAAACTAGTTTGTTATAACATCTGAGTGGTGTTTTACTTTACTCGCACCCTACCTGCTTTGACCTCCCTGCTCTTTTAGATTTTTCTTTTGTGTCACGAGTTTTCTATGCTTCTTAAGGGTTGCCAACAATATAGTTATGAAAGAAAATAGATTTCTTTTTATATCTTTTTAAATACGAGTGTACACAATGAATATGAGACATTTACTCAGAAATAAGTTTAATTTTCTCAGCAATTTTCCAAGGGTAACAATATCCAGGAAACTGACAAAATTATTAGTAGTAAATCAGTTTTTGAGTTCTAAGTTTCCAGTTCTTGAGTCAAGCTTGTAATGGAGATGGAAACTAGAAAATTTCACTAGTATCTGTGAAAGTTTTTAATTAAGTGCTTGGAATTTTGTTTAAATTGCCATGTTTAATTTGTTTGTTAATTTTTGTTTTAGTAGATTGCATACTAGATTTCTATACATTTTGATGATTAAGTTGGCAACCCTGGAGAAAAAAAATCGGAGTCATTTTAATTAAATTGTGCAATTGATTTGAAATTAGAAAAAAATCAACTGTAATAGTACGATTAATAGAAAGTTCTAGAAAACCTGTATTCAGCATTTGAAATCAGAACTTGTCAATGATTACTTCTGGATATAATCGTTCACATTGTTTCATAATTTATCTTTTATAAAAAAAACTTGGTTTGGATCAAATAAGCATTGGTTTTCTTTAATCTGAAGTTAAGGTTGTTTTTAACAAGTGGTAAATGGAGCATAACCATAAACCAATGTTTCAGTTAATGGCAATTGGGCTCCCTGGTCTGCCTGGTCTGACTGTTCTCAGACTTGTGGGACAGGAAATAGACTGAGAACCAGGACTTGCACTAACCCACCACCTTCCAACAATGGGCAAACATGCCCTGGAGACAATTTAGAAAGCCAGAATTGTATACTCCGAACCTGTCCAGGTAATTTGGTAGACAGCTACACATGAAGAACCTGAAAACTTTCCTATCACTGTCCCAAGCCTGCAAATGTCCAGACTCTTTCTGATCTTGGACAAATTTGTCCAAGTTCTGATAAAGTGCATTGTTCACTCCCAGTTGTTTTACCCCAGTGTATATGTATATGGTAACAGTATATAGTACAAACAGATTCCTTGGAACAATTTAATTTAATTTAAAGTGAAAAGTTCAAACTGTCAGTCTTTTTTGTCACAGGGTGAGTGTGAACATGCACCTTTCCTTCCCACCAACACTTTTCCTTGACATTTATCTCAGACTTATGAGTTGATTTGGTCTACTCGACTAACATTACAAACATTAAGATAAACATGGCTATGTAAAAAAAAGATGGCATATCAGCAGTGAGTATACTCATCACCTGTGTATGCTCAGGAAAAAGCTGGGAAGGTTACTTGGGCACTGACGTGTTCAGCTGTGAGTTTTCATGGACGTGGACAGGGAAAGTGGAGTTGGTTTAGGAGACAATGTATTGGAATGACTTCCTATGAATTTTTCCCAAATGTGTAGAAATACATAGCAGTGATCAAGGGCACTGTATTAGCTTTAAATCCAATTCTGAGGGTTTAAAGCTGAATCACATAACATACCAGTGTACCACATAGTGTTTTTTTGATGGTTTTTAGTTGATGGAAACTGGGGAGGTTGGACACCATGGAGTAACTGTAGCAGGACATGTGGGGGAGGCATAAGGTTCAAATCGCGTGAGTGTAATAACCCTCCGCCTTCCAACGGTGGGGTGTCCTGTCCTGGATCCAGTAATCTGACAGAGACGTGCAACCCACAGGGCTGCCCTGGTAAGTGACTTTATCTGTAGTACTTCTTGATAAAGATATTGGTATAGTTAAATGGATACGAAATAGTTATACCGGCATGTGCACAAATGATATGATTTAGTAGTCAAATAATCATATTATTTGATTAAATTTTTAAGCATTGAAATGTGTCTATGAGCGCATTCTCAACGAATTAAGCCAGGCTTTACAAAGCCGGTGACCTAAAAATGGCGGACGTACATGAAAGAAAAACCGCCTAATCTTTTAATAGTCTCAATGCAATGTCAGAGAGGGCTCTGTCAGTTAAAATCTCTTAGAGATTTTGACAAAAAACCAAACATTTAGGAAAAAAAAACCTGGACTAACTTTGAATGCAGGAATGGGGTCGTTGGTAAGTATGGGAAAACTGCCGTTCACTCCAGGAAAATCCAAGTTTTGGCCAAAATGAAGAGTTATTATGACTTTAAGATTATAATTTTTAAAGCAATTGTAAGGCTTCTTACACATTGGTAAAAACACAACTCTGCTCATTATCCAGCTATTGGTCTTCACTATCACAGGTATCAGTACATAAATAATAAATAGCATCATTCCAATAGTTTTCAGGCACTTGTTTGACCAGGACCTGAAATAAAAAAATCCATAAAAGTAATATTTGCATTTTTAGCATCACTAGTTTATAGACTGAGATGATATTAACATTTTAAAGCTGATAAATGGTATCCAGCTATAGATGTTAGATTAGATTTATTCTATTACATCTGGTTGCAGGATTTATGTGCATTTGTAAGATGATGTCTATGAGTCAATTATAGAGGGAGAGTACTTTTTTCATGGTCCGCATACTTGTAACTCTAAATGTGACATTAATTTTATAGATTTTTATTTTTATTCCATGTAAAATATGGACTAGCTATGAAAATACATCCAAAATCACCACTAGCACTTCTACCCCCACACCTATCCTCCTTAAAGTAACACAATTTTACAAATTACCATCAAACATTTTATTGTTATAAGTACAATTAACGTACACAAGTACTACTCAAGGCATTTTTATTAAAATAAAGATAGATATAAATGCTAAGAGTAATGTACAGAATTGCACAATAAATATAAAAAATAGTTAACTGATTGATAATAAACACTGTATTACTGATAGTAGTACATAGCATGTAGGTTAATACGTAGACGTACATGTTCTAGTACAGTAGTAGTGCATAAACTTAGCTGCAGTTTCATACCTCTGACTGCAAGTAATGTCCTCTTCTCTTCTTTTCTTCGAAACATTTTTCGTATCAAGCTTCTTTGTGCTTTTTTTCTTCATGTTTGCTTTTTCGTTTGTTTTTGAACCACTTCTTAATTGCATTTTATCTTAAAGTAAATAAACGTCTAAACGAGGTACCTCACGCTTCCCTGTTGTCTTCAATAGGTCAACCTGGGGTCAACTTTGTTCAAGGCAGCTGATTGGTGGTAAAAATTAGGCCACGCTTTTCGCCAATGAATATTGGTCTTGCGTTGACTTTATGGTTTCTTGGAGGCAAGTTTTGAAGAGGAAGCACCTGTAGAAAAGATGTTCGGAGAAAAAGCTCTAGAACTGATAAAAGAGTTACAAAGATGTTTAGATGGATCTTTGCCTCCTTTCAATGTAAGTTATTTCGCTGCAAACTAACGAATAACTATAGACCGACAAAATGGAATAGGAGCGATTCTGAATGTCGAAAATGGTAATGAAAGTGCTGAAGTGTGTGTGTGTGTTTACTAGGTATGTATGATTGTCATTGTAAATTGTCATTGCAGTAATGTAGTATTGTACTAATTAAATTGAATTGATTTACGCCTTGTTACAGGAAGAGGGTGTTCGGCAGGTTTTAGAGGAAATGAAAGCATTGTTTGAACAGAACCAGGGGGATGTGTAAGTGTGTAAAGGAAGGTCAATCACACTGGTACATGTTTATGTCAGTGTTTCCAATCAGTGATACGTCATTAAACTTGTACTTAATATTTTTCAAAGTTTTTTTTTCTGTAAATAGTTTATAAATATAACATATTTATACTGACCTAACATAATTCAAGTATTGTTATTGTTAATATGTTATTGTTTTTATACTAATTTCCCAAAAATAATTTTGTTTAGGAGTGCAACTGTAGCTGGTGAAACTGGTTTGTTTGCTGGTGTTCAACTAAGACATGCTGCATTAGAAAGAAATAAAAGATGCCTACTGGCTTATCTGTAAGTTTCAGCATGGATAGCAGTGTTTGAAATAACCAAAGGCCCTGACCCTAGGTGCAAAATTAATCCAATTAAATGACTGTATCAACCACGGTCTCTGTTTGAGTTACTCTCTTTCGTAATAATCAGGATATTAAGTTGTCAATCTCTCAGTGTCTCTATAGAGATAATTGTAATGCAAAATGTGAAAAAGTCCATAGAAAACCTTACCTAACTTTTCTGCATCCCCTTCTGGATATCGATGAATATCTGATATATCTTCGTGAATTTCTATTTATTCTACTTTCAGATACAATCGAATACAACAAATAAAAAAAATGAGGTGGGAATTCGGAAGTGTTCTTCCTCAAGATATAAGATACAATTTATCTGAACAAGAGGTTAGATAGTCACTTTGAATTTTAAAAAATCAATTTCCACATATCAGAATGCTATTTATTATATTTATTATAAATAATTAACAACAGCATTTGCAGCTCTATAATTTAACAGAGAGATACAAGGGCAAGTCCAATTCAGTTTATAGTTAATTATCACTGTTAGGATGTTTGTTAAAACCATTTATCAAAATCTGTTTCGTAGGTCCAGTGGTTTAATAGATATAATAAGTGCTTGGCTAATTACATGCGGTCAATTGGCGAGGATGGAGGCCTAGACTTGACACAAGACATCAAACCCCCAAAAACTCTATACATTGAGGTAAGGACCTTTTTTTTGTGATTTTGACAGAATAAAGACATCTCATGTCGAAAGAAATCTCATATTCCAGGAAACTGATGTAATGATATAGCCAGACAAAGAAATTACACCATTGCACCATGTTAATTCCATACTGAATATTTGGGGCAAGTTTTACATATTGATTGGAGTAATTGAACTAAGCTAGGACTGCTGAACTTAATAGTCAACTATAAAACTGAAGTATTTGAGTTCAGCTATGGCTGCTTTTAAGCTAAGACTGCTAAACTCAGACAACTACATATTTTGCTTAATTTGTTCAGGTTCGATGTACAACAGACCATGGAGAATTTGAAACCCAGGACGGGAATGTTTTAGTGCTGAAGAAAAATAGTCAGGTGAGGAAAAATATTGTAAAACTTTATGTATGAAACTTTATGAATGAATTGGTTCTTTTCACTCAACTGGATCCATGTTAAGGTAATTAAATTAACTTATCATTAAATTTAAATGTTTTGTTGGTATGTCTTAGAATATCAGAAGTTATATTTGTACATTTCAGCATTTTTTATTAAGATCAGAATGCGAGCACCTAATTCGGCAAGGGATCCTAGAACATATTGTCCATTGAGAAAGACTTGGGTGTCAAGACTGAAAGCTTTTCTGAATATGGTTGTTGATTATGGAGTTGTTGCACTTGTGAACAAAAAAAGTTTTTGAAAAGTAAACCGATTGCTGATTATAAGAAAAAAGGAGGCAGTTTCTTGCAGACATTTTCTGCATTACACAATGCTCAGAATTAGCAAAGTCTAAGTATACAAGACATATATTTCAACAGTAATTTCGGTGTAGCACCTCAATTTTTGTTTAAGGTCTGAGAAAAACTCTAAGTTCATGCAATCATAATTATTTATCAATTGTCTGCAAATTTATTATCGATTTGGTGAAATTTGGGTTATTTGGCTGAAAGACCAAAGATCTGCTGGCATGATCTCAGGTAATACATATACACGATGAGAAGCTTATTTCTTCAAAGAGTAGTTTATTTCAAGCTTGTCACCTCTCCTGTTGGTACAAAGAGATAATAATCATTGTTAATAACGTGTACTTGTAAAATAACATAACAATAAAAGGCCAAAAACATCCTGAAGTTGTTCTCACAGTGTTGTTTAAATAATCATGTAACAACAATAACCTGTTTGCTTTTGAAAGACAATGGAGTTCAAATTTAACCAACACGTTGAGCAAATGTCTGTAACATCTTGAAAATTGTCCCTTTCTGATTACGCCATGAATCAAGATAATCAAGACTCTTGGAAGCTTTGTCTCAACGGTAATTAGAAATTTCAACAAGTTATGCAATAAAGATAACAAAGCAGTACAATATGTGTAACTCCTGCATGCATGATCTGATAACTAATCATAATTTGGAACCCTCAGAATATCTGTGAGAACTGAGAAATTCAATTATGATCATTTTTCCCCTCCTGTCTGTAGAATATTTTTGAGAAACAATGTAAATTTTTTTAATAACTCTTTAATACTCTCCATAACAAGAAGGACAAATGATTCAAATTTTTTTATCATCAATTAAAGGCTGTAAAACCTAGAAAAAAAATTCAACTCTGAAACTGAGCAAAATTAGAAAAAGCCACGCTACATGAAAATATACAATCGAAACAAAGCGATCTAAATCAGACAGCCTTTTCAGATGAAATCAATTAATGAAAAGTCTAATTACTAGTTACTTTTATCTCACCATAATTCAAAAACAACCAAGGCACTGTTGTGGCATTATCATAATTAGGTTTTACTGTTGATATTCTGCATTTCATACTCCTCAAAGAGCAAGCCTTAACACTCCTCAACAGTAGTATGTCCATCTTCCACTCACTTCATCAGTCACTCTCCTCAGTAAATTTGGATTAGATAATTAAGTGATGCATATTTTCAACATGTTAGTAGTTACCATTGCTTAACCTCTATTTCTTGTACATTTTTCATATGCATTTTAGATGTTATGATCATTTTGATCAGTTTATAAAAGGTTATCTTTTTCTTAATTCAGCTTCACTGGTAAAAGGGGAAATGTTTTTTGAAAATTAACCAAGTCTAAAATGTCTATTACAAGCAAAATCGTTCTTTGTTTATACTGCCCAAATATTTTCAAATTATTAAATGAGATACATAGGATAAGTTTGTTATAAAATTAGTTAAAAATTAGAATACACTTTTCTCCTTCATATTATATCAAGATGGTTAATTTCTATAAGTTACATGTACCTCCAAATAGTTTCCTTATGTGACCTTCATAATGCAGTTGAATTTGAAGACCAAACATGGAAATGTGTCCAAATGTAGTTAAAAGAAGTTACTGACAATTATTTATAATGGCAAAAACCAAAGCAAGGTCATGATAACTGAAAAAATGTATATCAAAAACATTCAACAATATCCAATAATTTTTTGGACATTTGTTTTGTCAAGGTAGTATGTGGTCCATATACAAAAGTTTAAATCATAATGCACTAATATTGGATTTTTTTAGTTTCTTTTTTTTTTCTCTCATAAATATAACCACCATATTATGATTAATATAGTTTATACAAAATGTCCCTCAACCAAGTTTATAACACACAAAAAGACATCCGCACAGATACAAAATTTTCCCTAATACGTGTAAAAAAAATTTTTTTTTGATCCCAGTAAAAATACACTCCAAATTGAAGTCAATTATTCACATCTTTCACCACACATCCATTCACATTCACAGAGATAAGAGTCAAAGAAGACACAAGACTACTGTTCAGGAGCGTTCTGTGCTCTTTAAGAGGAAATGAAAGTACATATATATCATTCAAGTATTAAATATGATCATAGATTTTACGTACCGATTTTTTTCTTAAAATTTTGATGCACAAGTTCTAAATTCAAGACAGAGACTAGTTGTTCTATTCACAAGTTTTTTTTCAATCATCTACTTCTTTAAGCAGAAGGTGAAATATTACAAAAAAAAAAAAAAAAAAAAAAAAAAAAAAAAAGCAATATATTTTTACCCATCTGTATAAAATATCCACCGAAATGATCCTCAAGACAAAAAATATTTCACATTGGTCTTACTTTAAGATTGTAAATCTGTAATACTGATTTCACCTCTTGGTCCTTAAAACTTGGAAACAAGTGAATGTTGTGCTCTTTTCTGTGACAACCATATTTCATAGAGCCAAACATGGGTGCACCATTTTTTTTCTCAAACTTAAGGTGATTGATTTGAGGTACTTCACCTTTCATAAACAATGATGACAACAATTTATAAATATAAAACAGTCTCACTATTTTTTCTCATGACCTATTCTTAAATACCTACCTATTTAACCCCATGATAATTAGTGAAATATTTACAATGAAAAACTACATGAATATAAGCTATAGCTGATCAACATCTACATGTCTTATATTATATTCAGCTGAGTGTATATATATGCAAGTGAACAAACTAGGTAGACATTTATCGATACATGACATATGTTCATATCTACATGACAAATAACAGTATCAAATCTATTCTTTCCAAACCCATAGAAAAACAATGGAACAAGATTATGCCAGTGAAACAAATGAAACTGGACTGGCCACTTAAATTACTATTGCCTTCATGTTTTTGTTGTTTTTCTGAAAAGTTATTTAAACCAATAAATATATTTAAAAAAAACTGCATATTGCTGGAATGGGTAGTTGCATGGAAGCTCAAGACTGTAATCCCTATACAGGCCTGCCAGTGTTGCAATGTTTAACCAGAGCCTCCTGGCCCCTGCTGCCCCCTAGTGTTCATTGCTGGCATGTTCTGTTGCATGTGCTGCATAAATGAATTAAACAGCATTTTATAGGTGGCCTCATCCATCCCGTTTTCTCCAAAAGGAGAAGGCATACCTCCTTGCTTCTGTTCTGTTGGGGTAAAATTTCTCTGGCTGCTGGCCACATTCTGTTGTTTAGAGGGCATGGTTGTTGTTTGCTGTTGTTGAATCATTGGCTGTGCTGGTGGTGGTGGGGATGGGGAAACATTCTGGCCATTGTGTGGCACTGTTTGTGGGGACCCTAACTGCCCCCTGGTGGTGGTTCTAGGAGACTCTCTCCTTGGAGTCTGTTGTGGTGATGATAGGCTTGAAGAGAGGGATGCCTGGATTTCTTTGAAAGCTTCAGACAGCATTTCTCTCATCTTTCTGGAAGTTTCATCTGAAGATCGCCTAGAAACCTGCATAAGGAACAGAAGTGGTTAGTGTTTATTCAAATTATAACCACAACCCTCTGGGTGCCAAATATTTTTCATTTCAGCAAGACTGATTTGAGCAAGACTGATGCCATAACTACAACTTACAATATGGGCCATCATTGGAAAATGTTCAATCTGCTCTATGCCATAATATGAAATTCTATCAGTTGGCATGTTTAACTAGTTCTTGAGATTGTCAGTTGTTGTGGGTAGTTCTCTGTTGTCTTAAGTTAATGACAGCACCAAAGGGTTAAGTAAAATATAATTGATGTAGTATTACAAAATTAATTTTTTCCAAATAAATTGACGTCTTTCATAAAAATTAATGTGTTGAAAAGGCATGTCTGTATATACATTTCTCTATATGTGATGATCATAACATTAACAACAATGTCATAACAATTGCAGCAATGAAAACCTTTCTTCTAAGAACTATAACATACCTTTTGATACATATCTGTAACTCTCTGTATTGACTTCTTCAGATCTGTAACTGCTTCGGCACACACAACCAAGGGATCTGGAATGTAAAATGTTAAGTCTTTTGTCAATACAAATCTCAGAAATCCCTATTAACATTAAAGTACTCTTTCAAGGAAAATGTCACCATTTTTTAAACTATGAAACCCACCTAAATTGCTCTCTGTGACACCACAGTGTTTATGTTCCTTACCTTTCTCTGTCTCAGTCATCACTAGTGGTGATGTAACTCTAGAGGCTCTAGGACGTGCCCCTCCCTGGTCATCAACTTTGGGCGAGCTGCTTCGAGCTGGACTGAAGCCACTGGGAAGTCTCCTACAACAGAAAAAAAAGTCAAAAGTGAAAACTGTCAGCATTATCCTGCCTCATTATTGCTTTCAAATAATTTGAAGCAAATGTGAAGAAAAAGTCCTATACATTCAGAAATGAGACAACTCCCTTTTCAGCCAAAACATTCATGCTTTGTACCTTACACTATACAAATTCCAAACTGCAATAGACAAAATGGTATTAAAACCACCCAAGTAAATTGCAATTTGGCAGATGGTTCCTTCTAAATGTCCATTAACCAATATGAAAATGTTCCATCAAAGCAATTTCCAGAGTAGCCATTTTAAATTTAGCCATGGAACATCACAATAGGGTTCACCTTATTTCCATGTGGCTATAGATGTGACCCTAATACTTGTATTGAAGGGTGGATATATATATGTGTGTGTGTGTATATATATATGATCTTTATGTTAGGAATGGAGTAGGAAGGATATACTTATCTAAAATCTTAAGATACGATGTATGATAAATTCAGCAAATGGTTTTTGTCCTAGTATCTCACCAGCTTTTACCCATTAGATTCTCACATTAACAAACCACATTTTGGACACCTATCTATCAGCTAAAAGCCATCTTAAATTGTTCACATTTAAAAAAGCTTTTTATAATAAAAACAATAATTTAAACCATCCCACTTTCATCTGCACATGCTTTTATAATGGCTAACTTGAATTTCTACATTGGTGTTCGTTTTAAACAAGTTTACATAACTTTCAAATTATATCATAACCATAGGCATTTGCATACCATACTATAATCCATAATTTCATACTCATTTCATCTGCCAACTTTCAAACCACAATTCATTAAAAATTTTGAAAGAGCTGAACAATGCATTGTTTTGTTTATAATGCAAAATATCTGAAATCATACAAAATAAATTGTTACCTGTCAGCCATGTTTTGATATGAGACACTGACTTGACTTTAGTTGTACCTGCCAAGACATTAGCTACAGGATAACATTGAGTCATAGAATGCAGGTATAGCACACCATAATGGCAACAGGTGCTTAATTGCTCATCAAACCAACTTGGCAGAAATATACAACATTCCTCAGTATGCATACAGAATACACCTCCCTTTCTTCCTTCTGGAAGCTGTAGATATCTGTGCCTCAAAAACTTTATATTGGACAGGTTCCCAGAGTGATCTTTCACAAAGCTAGCCACAGACAACTTTCTATTTTTCTGATTCAACATTTCATTGTTCTGTCTCAAATGCAGGTCTTTTTTTTGCTGTTTTATGTTCAACAAAATTTAGACATGATCCTCTTTCAGTTATCTTTACAAATAATCTTACCTTCATATTTTCACAAGCCACTGGAAAATATGTAAATCATTTATGTTGCCACCCTCATATGTATCTAGCTATGTTGCATGGTCATATAGGGCACATTTTACATTTTGATTCATTCATATTTAATTCAAACAATATTTAGGCATTAATTTCTAGTAGCTGTATTTGTTTGGCCAGTTTAAGTGATGTGAAATGGCAACCTAGTGAAGCTACAAAACATAATCTTGCTTCTACTAAAAAAAACTAAGATTTTAATTGTAAGTCACATAAATAAAAATATCAAAATAAGTTAAAATTTGGGCTTTCCTTTTTGAACTCTGCCACAAATTAAACCAATTTTTAAAGTTTTAGAAGAAGTGCTTACTTTAATTACTGTATACTACTGTAAGATTCATTTCAACATACAATAAAGATGTTCTTTATATGACCCTAACCAATGCCAATCACNGAATCTTTCACCACACATCCATTCACAGAGATAAGAGTCAAAGAGGACAAAAGACTACTGTTCAGGAGTGTTCTGTGCTCTTTAAGAGGACATGAAAGTACATATATATCATTCAAGTATTAAATATGATCATAGATTTTATGTACCGATTTTTTTCTTAAAATTTTGATGCATAAGTTCTAAATTCAAGACACAGACTAGTTTTTCTATTCACAAGTTTTTTTCAATCATCTACTTCATTAAGCAGAAGGTGAAATATTACAAAAAAATAAAATAAAAAAAAAAACGATATACTTTTACCCATCTGTATAAAATATCCACCAAAATGATCCTCAAGACAAAAAATATTTCACATTGGTCTTACTTTAAGATTGTAAATCTGTAATACTGATTTCACCTCTTGGTCCTTAAAGGTCCTTAAACTTGGAAACAAGTGAATGTTGTGCTCTTTTCTGTGACAACCATATTTCATAGAGCCAAACATGGGTGCACCCTTTTTTTTTTCTCAAACTTAAGGTGATTGATTTGAGGTACTTCACCTTTCATAAACAATGATGACAACAATTTATAAATATAAAACAGTCTCACTATTTTTTCTCATGACCTATTCTTAAATACCTACCTATTTAACCCCATGATAATTAGTGAAATATTTACAATGAAAAACTACATGAATATAAGCTATAGCTGATCAACATCTACATGTCTTATATTATATTCAGCTGAGTGTATATATGCAAGTGAACATACTAGGTAGACATTTATCGATACATGACATATGTTCATATCTACATGACAAATAACAGTATCAAATCTATTCTTTCCAAACCCATAGAAAAACAATGGAACAAGATTATGCCAGTGAAACAAATGAAACTGGACTGGCCACTTAAATTACTATTGCCTTCATGTTTTTGTTTTTTCTGAAAAGTTATTTAAACCAATAAATATATTTTAAAAAAACTGCATATTGCTGGAATGGGTAGTTGCATGGAAGCTCAAGACTGTAATCTCTATACAGGCCTGCCAGTGTTGCAATGTTTAACCAGAGCCTCCTGGCCCCTGCTGCCCTCTAGTGTTCATTGCTGGCATGTTCTGTTGCATGTGCTGCATAAATGAATTAAACAGCATTTTATAGGTGGCCTCATCCATCCCGTTTTCTCCAAAAGGAGAAGGCATACCTCCTTGCTTCTGTTCTGTTGGGGTAAAATTTCTCTGGCTGCTGGCCAGATTCTGTTGTTTTGAGGGCACGGTTGTTGTTTGCTGTTGTTGAATTGGCTGTGCTGGTGGTGGTGGGGATGGGGAAACATTCTGGCCATTGTGTGGCACTGTCTGTGGGGACCCTAACTGCCCTCTGGTGGTGGTTCTAGGAGACTCTCTCCTTGGAGTCTGTTGTGGTGATGACAGGCTTGATGAGAGGGATGCCTGGATTTCTTTGAACGCTTCGGACAGCATTTCTCTCATCTTTCTGGAAGTTTCATCTGAAGATCGCCTAGAAACCTGAATAAGGAACAAAAGTGGTGAAATAGTTTTTATTCAAATTATAACCTCAACTCTCTGAGTGCCAAATGTTTATCATTTCAGGATTTTCTAGTGTTGATTTGAGCAAGATAATGCCATAACTACAACTTACAACATGGGGGACCATTGGAAAATGTTCTATCTGCCATGATATAAAATTCTATCAGCTGGCATGTTCAACTAGTTCTTGAGATTGTCAGTTGTTGTAGGTAGTTCCCTGTTGTCTTAAGTTAATGACAGCACCAAAGGGTTAAGTAAAATATAATTGATGTGTTACAAATTAAATTAAAATGAACAGTTAGAATACTTGTTTTTTTTTCAAATAAGTTGAAGTCTTTCATGTTTTTCATAAAAATTAATGTGTTGAAAAGGCATGTTTGTATATACACTTCAACTTGCGTATACTTGATGGTCATAACAAAATGCGCAACAATGAAAAACCTTTTTTCTAAAAATTATAACATACCTTTTGATACATATCTGTAACTCTCTGTATTGACTTCTTCAGATCTGTAACTGCTTCGGCACACACAACCAATGGATCTGGAATGTAAAATGTAGTCTTATGTCAATACAAATCTCATAAATCCCTTTGAACATTTTAGTACTTTTGTTAGGAAAATTTAACAATTTTCAAACTAGAAAACCCATCTTAATTGGCCCTGTGACACCACAGTGTTTCTGTTACTTACCTTTTTCTGTCTCAGTCATCACTAATGGTGATGTCACTCTAGAGGCTCTAGGACGCGCTCCTCCTTGGTCGTCAACTTTGGGCGAGCTGCTTCGAGCTGGACTGAAGCCACTAGGAAGTCTCCTACAACAGAAAAAAAGTCAAAAATGAAAACTGTCAGCATGACCCTGCCTCTTATTGCTTTCAAATAATATGAAGCAAATGTGAAAAAAGTCATAAACCTTCAGCAATGAGACAACTCCCTTTTCAGCCAAAAAATCCATGCTACCTTACACAGTATACAAATTCCAAACTGCAATAGACAAAATGGTATTAAAACCACCCAAGTAAATTGCAATTTGGCAGATGGTTCCTTCTAAATGTCCATTAACCAATATGAAAATGTTCCATCAAAGCAATTTCTAAAGTAGCCATTTTAAATTTAGCCATGGAAAATCATAATACATTCACCTTATTTCCATATGGCTAGATGTGACCCTAATACTTAAACTTGTATTGAAGGGTGGATATATATATGAATGTGTGTATATATATATATATATATATATATATATATATATATATATATATATATATATATATATATGATCTTTATGTTAGGAATGGAGTAGGAAGGATATACTTATCTAAAATCTTAAGATACAATGTATGATAAATTCAGCAAATGGTTTTTGTCCTAGTATCTCACCAGCTTTTACCCATTAGATTCTCACATTAACAAACCACATTTTGGACACCTATCTATCAGCTAAAAGCCATCTTAAATCGTTCACATTAAAAAAAGCTTATTATAATAAAAACAATAATTTAAACCATCCCACTTTCATCTGCACATGCTTTTATAACTGCTAACTTGAATTTCTACATTGGTGTTTGTTTTAAACAAGTTTACATAACTTTCAAATTATATCATAACCATAGGCATTTGCATACCATACTATAATCCATAATTTCATACTCATTTCATCTGCCAACTTTCAAACCACAATTCATTAAAAATTTTGAAAGAGCTGAACAATGCATTGTTTTGTTTATAATGCAAAATATCTGAAATCATACAAAATAAATTGTTACCTGTCAGCCATGTTTTGATATGAGACACTGACTTTACTTTACTTTAGTTGTACCTGCCAAGACATTAGCTACAGGATAACATTGAGACATAGAATGCAGGTATAGCACACTATAATGGCAACAGGTGCTTAATTGCTCATCAAACCAACTTGGCAGAAATATACAACATTCCCTATCAGTATGCATACAGAATACACCTCCCTTTCTTCCTTCTGGAAGCTGTAGATATCTGTGCCTCAAAAACTTTATATTGGACAGGTTGGCAGGGGAGTGATGTTTTGCAAAGCTAGCAACAGACTTCTTATTTTGCTGATTCAACATTTCATTGTTCTGTCTCAAATGCTGGTCTTTTTTTGCTGTTATATGTTCAACAAAATTTAGATGTGATCCCTTTTCAGTTATCATTATAAATAACCCTCATATTTTCACAAGTCACTGGAAAATATGTAAATTATTTATGTTGCCACCCTCATATGTATCTAGCTATGTTGCATGGTCATATACGGCACATTTTACATTCTGATTCATTCATATTTAATTCAGACAATATTTAGGTATTAATTTCTAGTATCCGTATTCGTTTGGCCAATTTAAGTGATCTGAAATGGCATGCTAGCGAAGCTACAAAAATATATTGCTTCTATTAAAAAAATTTAGACATAAATTGCAAGCAAGTCACATGAATAAAAATATCAAAATAAGTTACAATTTGGACTGCCACAATTTTTTTAATTTTAGAAGAAGTGCTTACTTTAATCACTGTTTACTACTGTAAGATTTATTTCAACACTGACCCTAACCTAAAGACTACACGGCAAAATTTAATTTCTTAAATAAGAGAACAAAAGTCCACTCTCAGTCTAGCCTTACATTATGACCTTTCACTATGACCTCGCTGGTATTCACCATCAAACATGTATCAAGGTGCTATGTATGTCGGTCAGGTATGAGGTCAGACTACACCACCCATGACATGGACATTTATCAATATAGCTGTTCAAGCCTCTGGTCACATAACCCAATGCCACATCTACATAAACATGTCCACATAATGGCATATACTACTTCTGAAATGTACAGGTTTCCCTTTAGTTACTTATCGGATTTCACAGAAGGGTAAATCTTAATTATAAAAATTTTTTTTAAGATTTACCAATTAGTTACTAATGTAACATACCTTTTTACATTAATCCTCAACTCATAAATTGTTCAGGTTTGGTTAAGTTTTAAAGCCATTTTCAAATGGTCTCACTTTCTAATGTGTGCACAATTTCTTTACTTAAAGAAAAGATCAAATTTATATAAAACCGATTAGGTTGTAAAAAAACATTCAAAAAAGAGATAGTAGTTTATTTTTTAAAGTTTGTATCTATCCCTTACCTTTTCATTGAGTAAGAGGGCAAACTGTCACTAGAGGAGTCCAAGTCTCCTGATCCCTTAGACCTCACAGAATCTTGCCTGCCTCGAGGGGAAGCCAAGTGATCTGTCTGCATAGTTCTGGGAGATGCCCTGGTGATCTCAGCAACACTGCTATCTGTATCTGAAGTTTTGTTCTCATCATCCTGTTTTACAGAAAGTTTCCCAGAATTCAAGGAAGGAGAACTATATGAGAGCTGGTTTGAGGATAAAGATAATCTCAAATCCTCTCTGGATTTGCTTATAGATGACCTTCGCGACCTTGGAGTCCCTGGGGATGTTTCAAATGTTAATTTATCCAATCCCTCACGGGATTTACTGAACTTCTTCAGCAAGGACTTGACCCCCTCTGAGCCTGAAGTAGCCTCAATATTTTCCTTATTTTCTTGTGCAGGTATGGGCTCTCCCCCTTCCCTGTTACCTAGAGCAGAAGCAGGCCTCTCTACTGTAGTACTGAAGTTAGAGCGTGAGAAGATTTCTGATTTTGGCCTTTGTCGGCGGGGTGTCCGTGTTCTTCTCTTTGGCACTACATCCTCAGAGTTTGTTGGTGCTAATCCAGATGTTTTAGCCTGCAGTATAATATCTCCCTTTGCTGCTCTAATAGTATCTGTTTTATCCTCACCATTGAAAACAGATGAAATGTCTTTCTTGCTTGACACATCTCTTTTAGAATTACCATGCTTTTCATCTTCAGAAGATTTAGAATCAATATCAATTTCCCCAGTATTTTGCATTACTTTTCCTGCCATGTTAAGTCCAGTGTCCATTGAAGTTGTCTTTGAAAGAATACCAGATTTTCCTAATAATATATCTTTCGCTTGATTGAGGCTTAAATCTGCATTGGATCGGCGTTTGGACTGTGCTGCCCTCTTTAAGAAAGTATCTGTGGGTTTTGACTTTGATACTGCAACTGCAGCTGGGGGTGGTGGCATAGCAAGTCTATCTACCTCATCCTTGGACAACACATTTCCAGAATGCACAGACACTTTTTCAGATTTGTCATCATCAGGAAGAGATGATATTGATGCTAAACTATCACGGCTACCTTTCAGAGTGTCCTTGGTAAGAGTACTTTCACTTTTATCCGATGACTGTTTTGGAGCTCTGCTACCCTTATTGCTAACCCTTGATGTTGACTGCTGCTGAGACTCAGTTTTTGTGTGGTCACTTTCTGAGCTAGCAGGGCTTTTGTGTTCCTCCACCGAAATCTGAGATAACAAGTTAGGTGAGGATGAGGTCAGGTCCATGGAACGCGTCCTACTCAACCTGTCTGAGCGCCGCCTAGAATAGGTCCTCTTTTGTACCCCACCTGCACCTGGAACAGTGCCACTTGGCACATTACTGAGTGTATGCATGGACATGGCCTTGGATAAATTACTGGCATCACCATCGGCTTCTCCTTCTACTTTACCAGCATTTAAACCCTGAGAAGAGCTAGCACGTGACATCTTAGCTGAAGAACTGGCTGTGGCGTCCCTGTACGAATGTTGCCTCCTGGTCATACGCTTTGGAGTAGTGTTCACTGGCTGTAAGTCCCTGCCTGAAGCCAGCAGGTTGGCCTCAGATCTACTCCTAGAGGGTACTGAGTCACTAAATCTGGAGCCTGGAAATTCTTTTGTGGGAGAGGCAGGGCTTGGTATCTTCCCCAGAGATTTCTCCAGTTTAGCAACTGTAAAGAGAGAGCAGGATTACACATACTCAGTGGCTCTATGTGGGATATAGAAGGTTGAGGTGTAATCTCATTACACTATGGTTTTATCTGCAATAGCACTGTGAGGAGACTGATTAATGGGTATCAGGTTCTTGACAAGTCATGCACAAATGATTACAAATGGATAACCTCAAACAAAAGAAATGGCAAATAATGCATGCCTTTATAATAGCACTTGTAAAAGAAAGGATTTGAATCTCATAACATAAAACTGAGTCATGATGCAATTAATCAAATTACTTAAAACCTACAATGAAACAAATTAACATAAATGTTTAAATACCTATGTTAGTGAATATAGTTTTTAGTAAGGAAGGAAGATTTTATATTAGCGTTTCTTTAAAGGCTTAATGGGTTAGGATATATATTACCAAATTTCCACTAAGTCATCACACTATTATCATTATATAACATGACCAAATTGTTGGTATCTTAAAATCCATGCATAAATGTTTAAAATTATGTACAGTAACAGGCAGTAAGCAGTATAAATAAATATAAAGGTAATAATATCACAAATTTTTCAGAGAAAATGTCAAAAAATAAAAGCAACTAATTAAATGAATTGAATGTCTAGTTTCAAGAACTAGCAGAGCGGCAACTAGCCAAGTGCAAAGACAACTTTTGGTGCATGTTTTTCATTTTGTTTGCACATCACAACAGTAAATCATAATGTGTGATGAAATCAAAGCTGATACAGCAATTTAGGTTTGGCACTGGGGAGAGGCAAGGAGATGCTTATATTGGAGAATACAATACAGTGCCCATACTTAATACCAATCTCTTTCTAGTAATAGGTGGTAAATGACAGATTTATCACTGGACGATTAATAAAAATTACATTAAACTTGACCAAAACAAAATACATAATGATAGAAATATACAGAAAGCTGTGCACAGCAGGAAAAACTACAAAATGCAAAATAACCACTCCTGTTCACATCATCTAAATAAATAAGAGACCAATCTAAACTCATATCCCTAGAATCCATGCAATGAATGCAGTAAAATGATCAGGAAGGAAACACCAGGCCAAGAGTTGAGTAGAGCTTACTATTCCCCTTATCCCTAGAAGGTTTATCCTGCTCCCGTGTTTTTAAGGCAGTTAGTATTAGTTGCTTCCATACGGCCCGAGACTGAGCTCTGCTGATAGCACTGGGGCGTAGTTTGGAATTTTTACCATAAGCACGGAGTGACTGTGTCTGGGTATCAGGAGTTGGGGGTAAATTGCGCTGCTGACGACCACCCATCCCTGCTATTTCGAGTGGCTGACGGGATACATCTGTGGAGGACCATGCCCTCCTCATTGAGGAACGCTCTTTATCTGGTTGCTTAATTGGTTGCGTAACTGGTTCCTTTTCTGGTTCCGAGGCAGGAGATTCTACGCCTGTTTCGGTTAAGTAGTGAAATAATATACAGGACATTCTATACTTAGAACTAATCTAAAGGTTCTCATCACCCCTGATATATGTGCAGGACAGTAGAATTAAATTAATTTATAGGAGAAATACAAGGAAATCATTGATTATTTATATTCATTATAATAGAAAAAGAAAAGTTCATTGCATCAAATCAGAGTAGAACAATGAAGAAATCGCTGTTAAATTTATAGCAGAGACCTATTCTAAAGAAACTCTTGTAGTTTTCAAAGCATGAAGGTCCACACATAGGAGTTTCAGTGGTGTAATTAGGTCAAATCACATCAATTAATTTAAAATCTATTTGTGAAATTAGAAAGTGAGAAGAAGAATCTCAGCTTCACACAAGATTAGCTTGTGTTTTGTGGATATCATTGTAGGATGCTGAAAGATTTGCAGTTAATATTTTTACAAAGGGTTTAAGTGCTACGTTACCTTGTTCTGCCTGTGCGGTGGCCTTGACCAAATTCAGCATGGATCTTTTCTTGGTTCTTTTCCCACCATCAGGAGTGTCTGAATTATGAGGAGATTCCTAAAGAATGAACAAAAAATTGTCTCAGGGCAATTGACACTCTTTATACTTAACTGTCATTTTTCAAATAAACTTAGTGATTAATCAATAAATGTAAGTCAGAAATGTGCTTTTATGAAAGAAGAAACAGTTTCAGTGCTGATCAAGGGTTAACATTCATATAGTGATTAAAAAAGAGAAAAGGTAAAAAAGTTTCTCTCTTTTTAATGTAAATCTAGAATGATTAATAAACATCTGACCACCCCATGAGTCATTTCCACAACCCCCCCCCCCAAAAAAAAACAACACTTGATGCATGAACTTGTAAAAAATAAATCAATAGTAATTTTGATTATTTGACTCATTGATTACTGTCCAATTGATCATCCTAGTATTTTACAAAAAGTACCTTAGCAAGTCTTGAAGGAGGAGACTGCTGAGTTTTAGTTCTATATGAAGTGTTAGTTCTCTCCCTCTCTGGTTGCTCATTGGGATCAGGCGGAACATAAATAAGCCCCGTCCAACCGAGCTAATGAAACAATAACATCAAAATAATGCATGCATTGCAGAAAAAAATTAACAGAGCTGCAAACAGCAAGAATTCCCATTACCTTTTCTCCATAGCAAACACTATTTGCAAATAATTCGGCTTTGCGGAATAAAATATTTGTGCCAATAACACTGTGCAAAGAGAACATGCTAGATGTTTTATTTGCAAACTTTTTGCATCATTATCATCATAGCTTTAAGCCTTCATTTGAGTACAGTAAAAGCACTCCAGTAACAATTAAATCGGAATATCAGCTATTGAATTAAATATCTGCTTAAAGCTATGCCCTCACCTCTCTACATATAACATCTCTACCCAGTCCATGCTTTCTATTATCCAACATGCATTTGAAATAATTCAAATCACGCAATGCAGGCCTTTGCACAACAAAGCAATACGTGTTATCCAATTGAAAACACTGAAAGCCAAGTCAGTACTTACCTCTTGTAATCTTCTTCTTGGATCATCAGCTGACTTCACCATGGATTCCTTTTTCTTTTCAATGTCCTGAATCAAAACAAGTGTATTTTAAGTATATCATTCCTTTGCTATTCACACAAAATGGATTATATACATATCTACCTTTTTCTAGAGAGTGATATGTAAAGAGTGTACATTTTCTTCCAAATGTTTTCTTGTATTGGAAAACTCACTTTATACATAATGTCTTATATTAATACTGCTGAAGTCCATTTGAGACCTACCATACATACCACATTAGTATCTCTCTCTGGTTGCATTCCTATGACATTCCTGAACAAATAAAAACAAACAGAATAAAATCAATTTTTAAACCTCAATGTGACCACTTTTCACTACAAAGCTCCTAATTAAACTGAAAAGTGTTACTGTTAGCTAATCAAAAGTGTCTGCAATATAAACTTTTTTGTTTGGCATAAAAATCACAGCAATCTTAATTCTACAACCTGATCTTACCTGAGCTGTTCCTGCTGAGCTCTGGACAAGAACCTTGCTGATATACTCAGCCTAGGATGCATCAGCTGACCTCCATTTAACTGGTCCATACCATCCAGACTGTGTTCACCTCCTCCTGCCAAAGTGGCTTCCATGTCTTCAAAAGTCCTAGAAAATTTCTCCTGAAAACCAAGGAAAACAGCCGACTTATATATAATGATTTTTTCTGTCTTTATTTCCGTACACTGACAACTAATAATACATCTCTTTAATTTCTATATTTATTGTTTAGTATCAACATAAAATATCCCAGAGTGCCTCGAAAACATTGAATTTTTTTGACTTCAACATTTTTAGATAAATTCATATAGTCTTTAGCAGTATTTTATGTTGCAGCCATTTAATACATTTTCCTTTCTCTTCTTACCCGTTCTAGTTGATCAAACAACATCCTGGCTCCTGGGGTCACAGGGGTATTGGGGAAGGAAGACTGGGGACTACTCAGGTCCATCTCATCATCTCCCATCTCATCTTCTGAGTCTAAAATTGTTACAATGAAAAAAACATGATATCAAACTGCATCAACTTGGTCTCAGAATTGTGTTGATTTCTTTTTTTTTCTTCTTTATAATATTTTTTGGGCATATAAGTAGGGAATAAAGCAATAAGCAAATACACTATAGATAATGTGATATCTATAAACAAGCAGACAGATAGCTATTCAAATACTATAGGACATGATGTCATGACATCTTGTGTTCTGTTGCTTTGATGATAAAATTTTCTGGCATATAAGATAAAAGAAATTTCATTCAATGTCAGTCTCACTTCCAAAAACACTCACTTGGCTCGCCTCTGTGTGAATGTGTGTCAGAGAAGGAATCAGATATACTGGCTGCTGGTTCAGATTCCTTGTTCTTCTGCATCTTCATTTGTCGTCTGCTTGCCTTCAACTCCTCCTTGGAAATTGCAACAACTTGGAATGAACTGAAATTAAAAAAAAATATATATGTGCAATAACCAAATGACAAAATTATTCTGACTGAAGTTGCAGTATTTCAAAATAAACAATAAGAAAAGCCTGTCAACTAAAAGGAAATGTCCCATTCCCCTTGGAATATCTCAAAAACTTATCAAACAGATTTGTCTATATTGATGCCAGTACAAAAATATTACTGGCAAATGATCATCAGCTTTTTCTTTACCTAGATTCTGATGCAGCATTATCCTCTCCATCTTGTGGGTAATATATGACTTCTCCATGTTCCTCAGTCTCTGTGTCCTCGTCCTCCTCACTGGGGGTACTGGCCAGAGTGTCTATACTGGGGTACGACCTCCCCCTCTCTGTAACTCTACCACCCTGGAGGGTGGAATCAAAACTTACAGTGAAAATCTCTATCTCTTTCATATAGGCATTATAAGATTTCTAAGAGCACTGTAACAGCTTAGAATGACTAAATATTATAGGAAATAAAACTTATGTGTATACCTTAGTGTATCTACTTAGAATTCAGTAAGATGTAATTTGTGTCACTATCACACTTTTACAAAATGAAAAAAAAAAGAGCATCATGCATCGTTGAAATGATGTGCACCTGATATATAAAACAGAAACCACCAATATTTTACCTGTAGCAGACCAGAAGCATCCCTGTCCAGCCTCTCTGCTTGTTCCCTTGCTGACATGGGGAAGAAGTCGTCGTCATCATCATCCTGGTTGTTATCATCATCTTCAATGATTGGAATGCTCTGTAATATTTATGAATAACAGTTTAGAACAGATAAGACTAGAGTTAAAGGGATTTAAAAAATTAATCAAATAAAAGGATTAATCGAAATCCACTCATAGTCATATATCGGAATCTTATCCTCAGAAGAGTTATACATTTATAACATCCGCTTTACTTTAAAAATTCATCAATTCTGAGAAATGGATACAGAAGTGTATATCATTTTAAAAAATCAGTGTCTGGAGACTTACATTTGGTCTTGTTGCCTTGGGTAACACAATTGTTTCCCTTCTAATGTTAGAAGACTGGTCTGCTTCAAAGGTAAACCTTCTATTCTCTAAAAAATAGTTTTATCATTTGCTGAAAAGAGTTTGTCACTAGATGATAGGAAGAATTTACCTCTAATGGAAAAATTTACAGTTACTTTTTCTGATTTTGAAAAATTAGGAAATGTTGTAGAGACAGCATCCAAAAAAATCCACAGACAATTGTCTACAGCAATGACTTTGCATTTAACTACAGAGCTTATTTAAAAGAAAACAAGTCTTTTCTTTTCTTATTTCTATTTACCTGCCCAGTTGACTTCAATAGCATTGTTATTGTCCAGGATAGACTTGACAGCAATCCCCTGGGGTTCCACCCTGGTGGCCCATTTCCCCTTGGGCTGAGAGGGCAGCTGACTGCCTGTCTCTGAGGTCACTGGCTCAGCAGACATCTGAGCAAATAAATTACAAATGTTTAAGCAATAATATCACTACCAATTGTTTTGAATGAACAGTCCATAATGAGGTCTATTTTCTACTGAAGGCAAGTGGGAGATATGATGGAGCAGCTGAGACTTAAAGCAAAATAATAAATTTTACTCAGAGGAATAAAAGCCTTGCCTCTACATAAATTTCTTGACATCTCTCAAAAACAGTAACAGTTTTTCTAACATCCAAATATCAATTGTAAAAAATAAAACAGAGAAATGCCAAAGTTTAATGGCTGGAGCATGTTCTGGTCTCATAGTATAAGTTTTAAATGACCCACTCACTTGTTTCTTAGCCCAAGCAGGGAGTTGTCCCACACTGAACCTGTAGTCTACCCCATTCCCATTGGTCTTACTGTTAACATTGGGGTGGAGAAACTCAGGGGGAGGTGGGCCAAAGTCACCCTCATCTCTCTCTGGGATGTTTTCAATCTCAACCCTAGGGGAAGCTGGGCTCCTGCTTAGAATGAATAATAATGTATTTAGATTTTTTACAAAAAATTATTTAGTTATATGTCCCTAAATAATAACATCAACAAAATTACTACAACTTCAACAAAAGATGCATTTAATCATGAAATACTTGAAGTAAAATGAAGATCTGCAATTTTACAGTCAAAATTTGAATGACAAATGTCAGATTGCAGCTAAAAACAAACCACAGTGTACATGCTTGTAGCAGACACTCACTTGTCTCCATTAGGAATGTATTTGGTGGTCAGCTGGCCCAGATCTATCAGTCTTTGATACATCTGCTGTGTCAAGTCTGAACTCACTTTCCAGATGAAAATGCACCTGAAAAATAAATCAATTGTCTTTTTCATAACAAAAGCAAGTTTCAAACATCTCCCACAGAAAGGGGGTCATGTATTTAATTTTTACTCGGGACTATAGTTATTTTATAACTAATTTTCACTTGAGACTATAGTTTCTTAATAACAATCTCATAATTTCCCCACAAGTTTGCCAAATAAATAAAAACTCACCCATCTCCTGACACTGTGATGATATGCTTGAGGTCATTCATAAACCTGACCCCAGTGGCTATTTCAGAGTGACCAAACATGGAGCCCATGCATTCTCCAGTGTAGAAATCAAAGATGGCCAGAGATTTGTCAGAGGAGCTGGTGCAGGCGTAGGTACCAGAGGGGTCAAGCTGCACCTTGATCAAAGTACCATCATCTCCTGTAGCACCTTTGTAGCACTTTTTGTTCTTTCCTGTCTTGATGTTGTAAATTCTGTTTAAAAAAGTTTGCTTTTGTTATGATTTATTTACCTATAATACACCTCAAGATCTTCTGCATTTTTCTTTTTTGCACACAATTTCTGTATGCATGTTTATATGTTTACATGAGTCCCTGTCATCCTTTTTTAATTATAATATATTTCTAGGTATTTTCAAACAATAAAACTGATGATGATGATGATGATGATGATAAATCACTACTTAACTTCAAAAGCCATGATATGTGAAAGAAACAATGAAATTGAGAAAGGAATGACAAGCTCACCAAAAAGAAAAATTCGGTAATTTCAAAGTAACTCTCACCTAACATTTCTGTCCTGGCATGCTGTGATGGCAAACTTGTTGCAAGGATCCACGTCCATGTCATACAGGGTGGTTTTCCCCACCAGGTGGTGGTCCAAGACAAACTGGAGCTCATGGTCAGGACCCTGGGGGGAACAGAATTGGTAGGATATCACTTAAAACAGTTAAATATCACAGTAATGCAACAGTAGTATTTGACTCACAGCATGCTGGCCCATCTGTTAATACAATACCCACAAAATTTATCCCACAATTTCTTTTTTTTTCGTTTTATGCTTCTGATCATTGTTAACCATTATTATATATCTATCAGAACATTTCTGCATTTCTGGTTTGACAGATATTAACTGTTCTCATAATTTCAATAACACATTATAAGTTTGCAAGCTTGAGCTTCTGTACAATGAAAACACACACACACACACACACACACACACACACACACACACACACACACACACACACACACACACACACACACACCTGTGTAGCAGTCCTGAACAGCACAGATTTGTCTGCAGCACAGCTCAGCATCTTAATCTGGCCATCATTCTCTGCAAACTTCACAGCAGTGATGGAGGAGGAATGGTCGTCTAGTGTCTGTACAAGGTTGTACTGGTCCCTGGTGTCAAATACATGGATCAGGCGGTCTCTGCTGGCTGAGGCCAGTAATCTGGGGCCTGAAAATTTTGTTAACAAATTTGCATAGATTAAAAATCTTGTTTTAATGCCATCTGTGTTTCAAAAAGTCAATCTTTGTGAAGAAAAACCTACCCAACACACGCGTCAAGAAATCTGAATGACTACTTATTTTAAGATGTTAATAACAGCCATAGCTGATGATTTTATGAATAACTAAATTATTTGACTTTCAAAAAAAAAAATAAATAAATAAAAATGAAAAAAATAAATAAATAAATAAATAAAATAAAAAAGACTTCTCACCTGCAGGAAGAGTGGAATATTCCAGACATAGCACCTCCCCATCATGGGCTTCAATGATACACAACTCCTTAAGATTCTGTAGATTATGCACTCTGAAAATAGGATTAATATTATTTATCAAAAAGAACACAAAAAAGTTGCCCTGTCAACCAGTCTGCTGTATTGTGCTAAATTCATTACTGCTAAATTCATTACTGCTTCAAGATCTAATTATATCGTTAGTACAGAACTAAGCTCTGACTGCCTACTATAGTACCTGATATTGCCAGTTCTGTCGCCTGAAGCTAAGTGCTGGCCATCAGGAGACACGCGCACAGCACGCACCCCGTTCTTCCCATCATACGTGGTGTCTGTCTTGTCAGCACCTCCAGTGGGGTTGTACTCCTTGTCACAGAGAAAACTCAGGTTCTTGTCCACATAGAGAACTTTGAGGAGTTCCTAGAGACCAAAATTATCCGATGTCACAAACCCCGGACTTTATGGATAAATATAATTTCAGTTCTATTTCACACTTTTACTATTATATAACGAGGCAAATATATAACTGCACAGCAAGCTACTAAGGAATATTTCTATATTTTTGTAAATTTTTTTTCAAAGTTTCTACTGAATTTTAACTGTTCTAATCAACAGTGATATCCTAAACACTATCTCTCTGAGAGCTTACGTGGCTGTAAATGTTCCTCTTATACAAAGTATCATTGGTCATGTGTGGGTCAATGTTCCAGACCCGTATAGTGTCATCACTGGAGCAGGTCATAAACGACCCCGGAGGAAGAGCTGGGTTATTACACACTGGGTAGACCTGGAAAAGAGAAATACATTAAAAATATGTATTTTATAGTTATTGCTATCAAGAAATGAGTGCACTGCTTATTATTATCCTTATCAAGTGAGGATTAGAATGATAGGAAGTATTATTAAGTTATGAGTAGAAGCAGTGACATTTTGGTTGATGTTAGAAGCCAGTAATAAGCTCTGCATTTTCCCTGCAGTTTTAAAGGTACAGTTGCAATCCATCTTAAATCCTTCTTTTCTAGGTCTACAGAAAATGTGGCTTAAATGTCATATCTGAAAATCAATATTTCAGCTGACAGCCTTCTCCTAGGGGAAATATCTAATTTTGTGCATGACAGGTGTACAGTAATCATCTAAAGAAATCTAGCTTACCTCCAGACCCCATATACAGGAACTGTGGAACAAGGCAGACCAAGCCTTGCCAATCTTCCTAATATCCCTGACATCCCACATGTACAGGCTGTGATCACTGTATATACATGTCACCTACAAAGAACACACAAACATGAGAAAAGCAGATAGCATATGTAGTCATCAAAACAAACTAAGAGATCAATGAGTAAATTATTTACTTTAAAAAGTCAAAAACTGCTGAGACATTGGTATTATTTTTTGTATAACTGTTCTGACATCAGCATTTGATAAAAGCATAAAAAATATTCGAACAAAAAAGAGCCAATTATAAAATTCTATTAAAATTTTTAGAATTTGAATTCAAAGAGCAAGCCAGTGGATTATCATGACCATTTTTTCAATCAAGACATAAGCATCACTTTAAAACCAATTTAATACCGAGATTTAAATATAATTCTCATCTCAATTTATCTCAGTTTCAAGACAATATCTTTCGTCAAATCCACATCTTATTACTTTTTTATTCATCTCATCATATTCCAGAGCTATGCAGTCTGGATATCTGGCATTGTCTGGTTTCACCCCCATGTGACTGAAACAAAAAAGGTCAAGTGCTTAGTACTTTATGTGCAGTTTTTTGATAACTATCAGCTCACTTAATGGTCCAGGTGATATCACATCTGAGTCTATTTACTACACAATTTGTATAATAAAATTGTAATATAGAAAAGACTGAATAAAAAACACATTAAGCATAGTTACAGCCTTTACACTTTTGCCCAGTTATAGGAATACCAAATAATCAGCAGCATTCAGAAGTTAAAGAATATTTTGGTTTACTCAATAATCCCGGCCCTCCCCTTTTCACATATTTTTATAATAGTCAAGTGAGGCCCACCTTGGATCCTGCCCAGCAGTGACATCTACACCTAGGTAATGTGGCTTTGGCATAGAGCAGACAAAATGGAGGCTCTGTGCACTGAAGATGCGCACTGTGCCATCAGCACAACCAACGAAAATGTAATCAGCTCCAGCTGACAAACAGTTGGCTTTGGTGGTCTGAAAGACAATCAAACATCAATGATCATTCAGTCAAACGCAACATAAGAAATTATTATTGTCTTTCATTATGTCGTTTTATCTTACTCTTGTTGGTCATACAATGTTTCATCCTTTCCAATACGATAACAGACAAGCTGTTCACTCCAGTGTAACACAAAAGATTTCACAAAATACTGATACAATTTAACATTTATTCAAGTAAGTCATATGCTCACCCTGAGTTCCACCCACTTATCCAACAATCTTTTGGCATTAAACTCACACAGCCTCCCTGACTGTGTGATGGCATAGACGCTGCCTGCCATAGCTCCACAGCCCATGGCCACACCACAGAAGAAATTGTTCTTCTGGTCGCCAATTATTGCAGATCGTCCCAACAAGGGCAATGTTTCATTTTTGATCTGAAATTTTGGAAAGTGGTTTATGATTATTGTTTAAAATTAGCTTTGTCCTTAATTCTTACTAGTTCTTATCTGTAACTTAAAATTGTCCTAAATGATACTAACATTGTTGGATATTGCACAAAAATTCCATTTACCTATGATTTACCTTACTTGACCGATCGGCATATTTTACCTTTGATTTACTAGCATCTAAATACCAAAACTTGACATGTCTGTTGCCCACTGTAACAAACATGCTTCCATCTTCTGAAAAACCCACAGCATTCACCTGTAAGTAAAATAATATCCATAATATCTGCCATCGTTGCTTTTAATACACGTGCTGCTTAGACATACACGTTCTTAAATAGTATTTCTAATAGTTGGTGCCATTTCATTTTCACCATGCCTATATGTTACAACAATGCTTTGTGTTAGTGATATATGACTGTTGTAAAACATAAAATGCCTTAAAGTAGATATGTGCTAGTCGCTCTCTTTAATTTAGTATTTATTACTGTAAAACTTCGGATTACAAATGTTGCAAATGAGTCTTCACAAAAGGAAAATTGAAAAAATTCCTTAATCAAAAAATAAGGATTATTTAAACAAATCTACTAACATGTGTGCTTAACTGCATTTTTTTAGGTGATCCATGACCATTCTCTCTCAGTTTAAGAAAGATGCTATGAACCGTCACAACAGAGGACAATAAAGGCCAGCCTACACTGAAGGAGTTAGATTTTCCATTCAAATAGAGAAGAACTTCAGAGGTCTCTGGTGTCAGGTTCTACATGAATGCTTGAATGACCTCAGTACTCACAATACTTGTACTCAGAAAACTTTTCTTGTACAAATACAAAAATGTACTTTCAGATTGTGCAAATAATAAGAGAATGATGTGGGGTTCACAAAACAATGAAAACAGGGAGTAAGTTTACCCAAATTTAATGGTAAATATTTTACAGTAAAGCCAAGACCATCGCTTTTGAAAATTACAGTTAAGAAAAATTACAAGTTCAAATGGTATATATGAGAAAGCATTACTAGTAAACTGCTTGAATAAGAAAGAAAGACAACCTAAGCAGGCTTACATAAAAAGGTAGCACTGGTCACTATATCCAGAATGATATGGAAGAAAAATGACCACTTATACACTCTAAACTAATAAGGAGCAAGGATAACAGTCTATTTATGCTGATAGGAGTGAAAAATGACCTCCTTTACCATCTACTACTAATAGGGAGCAGAATGGACATGGCATTGGGCTGATAGAGAAGGGACTGTTCTACCCTGTTTCACATCAGTAAGTCTATAACTAATACATACAGGTGCTAGCAGTGATTTCAGAATACCCATATGCATTGCTCTGTCTGTGCATAATGAGTATTCTTATCTCAATCTGCAGCCTGCTTGTATTCAAATTTAATTCCTGTGATGGGCCAAAATTGCATCAAAACTCTGTGACACTAAGTTATCTTGGGTTTGTTCATGGTCCATGAACAGGGTGACCATGTCAGAGATGAACAGCTAAAAATCCTGCAAAACAGGCTTGAATAAATTTGCACAACGTATGACAATACACCATTACAAATACACAGCCCTGTTAGTAATTTATATTACTGAGACTTTTTACACCTGATGACACTACCAAAACAGGCCCTGTGTCACCAAGGCAATCACCATAATAGCCTCAGTATTAGCTAGGTATGACCTCTACACAGGCCCTTTGGTGTCACTGCACAATGAAGCTTACAGTATGAATACCAAATGATAATCAAGGATCAACTTTTCCCTACTTAATCTGTTCTTTACATGAAATGCTTCCCTTTCTCCATTGAATGTCCTCACTCTTATAAGGTTTTTTGACACACATGACAGAAATCGACAGAATTTCAATGAGAATTATTTGAAAGAGATTTATTACAATATGATAATTTTAGGCAAGTATAAATGTCCACAAGAACAAGTCCTACATGGGTTACACTTTGGCCTACTGAACTTGATAGAGCAAACATGGCAGAAGAAATGTATCATTAAAATTTGCCAAAATCACATTAAGTTTTACCATTTGCAGAAAAAATGGCTGACATGTTTTCTAACCTACAAATTTATTCCAAAATTCTTTTTTTTTCTTTCTTTTTTTTTTTTGTGCTTACTTTGCTGGAGACTTTATTTGAAGCAACTTTGGTGTTGGTCCTCCAATTCCAAACATTGATGATCATGTCATGCTGAGTTCCCACTGATACAAGATACTTCAGGTTGGGGGAGAAAACCTGCAATTTAATCAAAATGTGAAGCACAAAAAATATAGGCAATGTTCGATATTCATTCTTTTCACAGTGACATTTGAGACTACACACGCAAAAAGACAATAATAATTGCAAAATGCCAAAAGCTGTATTCCAACTACGTGTTCACTTTACAGATTATAGTTAACTGTTCAGATTTTCATGCATACATTCCAAGAATCTTTTTTCCAAAACCGAAGCCACAAATTGTAAATATGATTTGCTCAATATAATCTCACAAAAAGAAAACAAACATAACTAATTGACACAATTTCGAGCTTGTAACAATAAAATGTAATCAATTCTTTATTTCATCAAAAGTTCTGAATAAGATGGTGGCCATTGGATACTTAATTCATCTATAGACAACTTAACCAAAAAGAAAAAAAGTAGAAGGTCAAAGTGGATATAATTAAGACTTCGAAAAGACACAGTACATGTAAACTTGGCACGGCATGAAGAAGACTCCAAACTAATACCACCTTCAAGAGATACGGTAATGACTTGAACTTTTCAAGGGGGAAATTTGTAAATTTACGGATAGTGTACTTTTTTTAAAGTCTGAATCTTAGAATTAGAGCATTTACATGGAATGGTAGCAACAAAATTGAAAAGTAAGCTATCCTACAGTTCTGATCTATACAGTGAAAACACCATAAATGCCATATATACTTTTTTAATGATTCCAAATTTGCATACCTGAAAGATTGATAATTTTCCACATTGAAAAGATCTGAGTCATTACCTTATATACCTGAGTATGCATGTTTCACCAAATTAAATCCGTTAAAAAAAGCACCGTGTCCTGCTAAGCTTAATCCATTTAATAACAGGTTAGATTAATTCTCAGGTGATCTGCTAAATTATGTCTAGACATAAATCTTTTATATAGTAATTTGAATAGGGGAAAACATTTCAGTTATCCTAAAATTTTGCTTAATCAAGTAATATAAGTTTTCATTAAGATTACACATCTCTAATTCTAGAGGGCTCTTGTTAATTTTCTTTATCTCTGGAGGCTCATCATGCGTGATAAAGCATGAATGTCCTTAAAGGTCACAGCAACATGTAATGGAAAAGTCTGTCAACTGATAGCAAACATTAGTCCTCATCCCTCCAGTAAACTTATAGTGTAAAAAGCAATAAGATAGGTAAGATAATTCAAGCATAACTTAAGTATGGTATATAAAGCTAAAAAAAGATGGTATGTGAAAATATTGCCTTTGTTCAGAAATGGTCAAAAACAGGACACAGAAGTTCAGTCAATGAAGTCACAGTGTTAACTACACTAGACTAGGATTGCAGATACATGATCTTACTAGTTCATAAAATAATACTGAAAATTTAAATAAAGTATGACTGAAAACGTTTTACGGACTATTCAGTCAGAACCTCAAAGTAACATTGGCTAAATATACAAAGTTTGCCATGCATCAGTGCATAATATAGGTATATTTTGATGCTTGCTGATAATGGCATTGAAAACCAGTCTTTTATCAGAGATAAGCTGTTATTTACAGCAAAATGCTGTGCCAGGTGGTACAAAAATTAAGTTATTTTATGTATGAAAACATTTCTGGCAGATTTATTACATTAAGCTGAACACAATTCAGTTTCAGCCAAATGTCTCTTTTATGATCACAAATTCCTGTATCGTGATTCACCGATGAATTTGGCAAAGTTCTATAGGAAGTTAGAAATGGATGCTCTGGAGAAGCATTCAGTATAAATCCTGCATGGCTGCACTATGTCAAAGACGTGTGTCCTTATTGGATTTGGACGACAAAGGTTATGCAATTTAATAACCACAGGGCATAACTGGAAAAACTAGTCTCATCTCTGTCAAGAGATCAGTGAGAAATTTGTGAATTCCTTTCAGTATTATGTATATTTATCTTGTCATCTTTTGGTTGTTAAACCAAAAATACCAAGGATTTTTTTTCTACGGAGAGGATGCCCCTGGCATAAGGGAGTGAGTGATAAGATCCCAAACTTTTTGAGTGTCTTTGTCACAACACATAAAAATGATTAAATATAGAACCATGAAGGCAGTGCTTTAGTTTCCAGATTTAAGAAGTTAAATGAATTCATTTGACCTACCACACTTTGCAAGCCAAACTTGTGTCCATGGAACTCGGCCACTTGGACCTTCTCCTCTATGTCCCATACCCGCACATGGGGCTGGTGGCCACTCTGAGAAAGGAATAGGATTGATGAAATTGAAATTTAAGAATGACAGTAAATATGAATCAATATAACCCAGGCAAGATATGGTTGTTCTTTACAAAATTTTAAACATCTTCCATAGTCTTCATACATACTTGTAAACATGTCTGTGCAAGAGAGCAATGTTAGTGGTTACAACAAAACCTTATATTTTTTATACATCAACACACAAATGGCTGACAACATTCTTTGTGTGTCAATCTATCAGGAAAATTATGTGGCTACTTTTACCTCAACATATAGTATATTACATTATGTACAGTGCACCCCTTACCTCCCCTGTGGCCAAATGTTTGCCATCTCCTGCAAACGCCAGGCAAGTGATGGTCTTCTTGCAAGTGTTGAAGATGTGGCTCTGTTTGTGTTTCCTGGCATTGAACAGGACAACAACACATCTGGAAAATAAAATAAACAGTATATACTATACATATACATCTTTTTATTATGTGTTGTAAGTAACAACAAAACTATCACCTATAATAAACATGATTCTGTGTATACCTTCAATTTGAGAGGTAATCTTACACATAATTCAAAAAGCAATCATATGACTTTCTGATTCTGCTGGTAGAATTTGAAACATTTTGTGACATACAGTATATTCCTTTCACATGTATTTAAAAAAAGAATACCTGTTACTCCTTTTTTAACATACAAGAACTAAGTGTTTTTAATGTCATCTTCACTATAAGACATTGATTGACAATTAAAGAAAAGTATCTCATACCCTGCAAATAATATCAATGTATAACTCAGCTTTCCAATTTTATTTCTCAAATGCTGTAAGGACTGACAAAATTTACTATCCACTGTCCTGTCTTACACGTGAAGATACTGGAAGTTTGGATATTGTAAAAAACACATGGCTTATGATCTTGTTCAGCATCTCAAACTTATTTTAAAAACAAAGCCAAAAGTAACAAAAAATGTGATGCCAAACAAACATATATGAGTCAGACTTATTATTGACATTGAGAGATAAATTCTCCCATCACAGATTAGTCTGTGAAAGAACACTTTATTTGTCACCTGAGCCAGATAAGAACTGTCAGCAGACAAGTAATGACAATAATGAAATGTTTGAGCACCACCAACATGCTACAATCTAATTACAGCTACATAGCTATTCCCTTCTACATCAACTTGTAAAGTGGATGGAGTTTCCAAAATTGTACAGAAATTGAATTTTTCGCTGGGTAGTTTCTAGTTTATGTGTGATATTTTTTTGGTCTACTTTGACAAAAAGGTAACATCGTCTAATACAGCACAACAAAGGGGTGAGTTGATCAAATGCACTGGAATGACCTTGGGTCAGATTTTGCATTTATGCAGCAATTAAACCAAGCATTGGTAGATACCATCACCATTACTATTGGCAAATGTACATGTCTATAGCACAGATTGGTCATGGTGTTTCTTTATTGGTTCTTGTTTCTCTTTTAGGTTTTATAATAAAGTATTTTATGTAACTTAAAATATCTATTTTATTAGATAAAAAATTGCAATAGCACATTACAGCATTTAAAATTCTAAACCATCATCAATCCCTTTCAAACTGGACTAAGTAGAAAAATAAAATAAAACAAAAATTATCCTCGCATCCAATATTTAACCTTATTATGGCACCTTAATAATAAATGAAAATAATCACAATTTTTTTTTATTTCTTTTTCTAAAATATATGAAGTTCTACAACNCTGATATTGCATCTTTTGTTTTTCCCTCCAATTTACTTTATTTTTGATTATTCATCTTTCTTGGTTCTATGGAACTGAACTTGTAACTGCATACTTGTTTCATATATTCTTACTCAAAAAAAATAAACAATTTTTTTCAATGCTCCACACAAGAGACATATCAAGATAATTTACAAATGATTGCCTGTAATGCTCTACAAGTATATAAGCAGGCCAGTCAAAGAAAGCAGTTTATTTACATCAAGTATGGTATTTGCATTATTCACACATGAAAAGGACATGAAACTTGCCTCCCAATGTGACCCAAAATTCCTTCACCAAATTATGCATCCAAATCAGGTAGCATCATAGGACAATTTGGAACAGACCAGCAAAATGGGCTTCCTCGGGCATTTCAATGTTTTTTTTTATGGGATCATCTTGGAATTGGGCCATAAAAATGGGGCCAGAGCTTTATTATAGATATATGCAAAATAGAAAGGTCAAAATGGTATGAAAATGTAGTTTGTACATGAAGGATGAGTTCAGAGCCTAGAAATTACATTAGCATCATATACTAGCTAGTTCTGGTGCTTTCACCTATCTATCAAAGCCTGGCAAGGTGTGTCAGCTCCATGTTCTGCCCCTTAAAATGGACTATTTCACCTTGTTGTCAATACTTTCACAGCATTCAAACAATAACAACAATGCTCTTTAACAGTCACTGGCAAAGGTAAATGAATCAAATTTCTTATGTGACAAATTACATCTGGTCTGCACAAATAGAAAAATGAAGTATCAAGTTATAAGTACTATCAAAATAACTAAAGCCACAATCATATTTCAACCAATCACTGCAAATCAATTATAACATCTACAAGATATATCAAATTAATCACTCATTAGAGAAGTAATTACTTCATGTTATAACCTTAGTACAAGGAGTAAATAAATGTTGCCTAAGTACCAAAGTTCCTTCTAGGCAGCTGTTTTGTGCACAGGTACATGTTCTATTACTGAAAAAATGTAAGTATTTGATAAAGCTACAGACCAGCACCTGTGTCTCAGATCTGCCACCAGTCTAAGTCTTGAAAAAGTTACCTGACCTCAGTTAAGTATTCCATTTGGAGGCAACTTGTATGTCTATTTTGTTTTTCGTTCCTTTCCTTCTTTATAAATTTTTGAATATGCGTGCATTTTTGAAAAGTCTTTCATGACAAAGTTAGCAGGGCAAGAAAGTTATGTGTGCACTATAATGGAGTTTTTATATAAAATATCTTATCCTATGCAACTGAAGCGGTTATTTTAGGAGGTTTAAGGGAGGGGGTGGCGGCAGGACCTTTAATACCCCCTGCAAAGATTCCACAGTAAGTTTTAATTGATATCTTGTTGACATAAATGTGTTGAGTATTTCAGCTTTCCTCTTCAGAGCTAGGGTACCCAAACAATGCAGTCGGCACACAGCTGTACACAAGTCAACTCCCCTGTTACCCTGCAAGTTACCTGTACTTTGTGTAGTTGGTTGGCAAAGCACACCGTCCACAAATAAAGAGGCAAGTCTGTTTACTGACTGCCCACAGCTCACTTGGACAGTGCCAACTGGGTAGAGAAGGAACAATAGCTGGAATTTTATACAGGATTTAGTGAAACCCAACTCTAAACCTAGCAGAATAAATTCAACAGTTCAGTGAAGCAATTTATTGCAAACCCACATCTTCCCCATTGGGTGTTCTTGAGCAACCCCATCATAACAAAATGACCTTAAATTATGAAGTGCTAACTTACAGCTTCATGACAAATCTCATAAAACAATCATCTTTGACAGAAATTAATTTTCCCCAAAGATGTTATACAGAGTCTGATTTCAAAGCTGGTTTTCTGATTCATAAAACTATGAGGAATTTAGTGCCTCACCTGTGATCATAATCACAAAAAAAATTTTTTTTAATAATAAATTTTCGTTAATTAATGGCCTTAAGTCAGTGCTACAGGAGTGTCCTGGTGTATGACATGCTAGCCTCCCCCATAACCAATCCCCACACCTCGGAATAAAGCACATTATCTCCAACACTGAAAATATTGAATACAACTACAGTCTCTTAGAATATTGTATTACATTTAGCACACTTTGGCTAGTTTCTAAAAGGTCTTATTCATAACATTTTAAGACCTCCATCAAAACTATATATTCTCAAAGTGTATGAAGTGCTCCCAGGGTGGTCTGTAGGCAAGGTTGGTTTTCAGAACTAAGAAAATCCTCATGGAGGACTAACTACAATACAATAATGCATGTGACACTGCAGTTGTCAACATGTCAGAATGGTCACCTAAATCCTCTCTTCCATGTCCTTTCACAGACCAAGGCTTGAACCCCATCAGAGTACCACCTAATCTTCACTGACCTTTTTAACAAGTTTCTTTCAACTTGTGAAACAATGATGAAATGACTGGGTAGTTGTGTGAGGTTATTGTGTGTGTGTGTGTGTGTGTGTGTGAGTGCGCGTGTGTGTGTGTGTGTGTGTGTGTGTGTGTGTATGGGGGGGGGGTTACTTAAGAATTATAATTGGATTACTAGTAATCAAATCAAGATAGTGGCGTTGTATTTTTTCATCCAATAACTGCCCTGAATGCGAAGGACCATAATGTACAAAATGTGCCACTCAGTAATTTTCTTTTAATCATACTTGTTCACTGCTAAGTACTGTAATCTTGTTTATCTTGAAACTCAATGTATTTTGTGACAAAATGTGTGCAAATTACAGCCCTGTTTTCTCTGATATTTGTGAGATCAGGACTTGGTCAACAGTGGGCAGGGAAATCATTATAATTTCATCACTTCAAATATATATCCAAGTATTTTGGCATTAAAATGCACAACTATACTTCAAAATCCAATATGTATCTAAAATCCAATATGTCTCTCTCTTCTTTATACCATTTTTGTGATCAAATTAATGCATTAATTTCATTTTTTTTAATTACTGTACTTTCTACACTTTCTGCTCAACATAAGAAATGTGGAATCACTCTTAAAAGATGAAAAATATGAATTCAAATCTCCACGTAATTCAACTCTCCTTCATAACATAAAAATGATCAGACATGAACTTGAGCATACTATATCACATTCTGCAGGATTTTTACACCTAAAACCATCACTTGATATATATATATATTCCAGGCACCCAGAAGAGATCTCACCACTTATGGTTAGCAGTGACTGACACAAGCACTAAACCCATCTGATAACTTGTCTCTTCCATCTTAAGCAAATGCTACCAAACAATCTGGGCTCACAGGACTGTGCTTGAGACGTATCAACATCTACCTCAGAAGCTAGTGAAATGACAAAGTTTCAAAACAATGCCTTAGACATTAAGATAACTGCAGGGAGAATTTGCTCTCAAATTGATGTTCAGAGATGATAAACAGTGAATGACTAATTCATATTTAAATCTAATGTTGTCTCATTGGTTATTAAATGTGTTATGGCGAACAATAACACCTTGTTTTCTCCCCCTCTCATAATTTTATCTACATCAATATCTCATTCCCTGTTCTATGTGATCCTAGGCAGACTAATACTTAAAAAAAAAGACAAGCAACTCATCTTTCAGATTTGATCTAAAGAGCTCCCGCAGATCACCTAAGTACAAGGTTCTACCTGCAGCAATCTTTGTGAAAACTAATCACGCTGAGGAAGTATCCATTTTTGATGGGCAAAAACAGATGCACTGTTTTTAGGGGAATTTAATGATGATGTACCCTACCTGATACTGTATGAGAGGAAGCTACACAGGAAAGGGAAATTTGCACATCAAAATTTGTCATGATTTTTATCGCGATTGCGCAAAAACAAAGTTATAACACTAATCCCAGCACACAAATTATTTCACTGAGGCAATTTGCTCCGTGGGAATGGCATATTGTCTAGACAAGATTTTGTTTGATAAATGAAAGCTGTAATTAGATAAAACACCCATTATCACTTTAATAGAACATATAACAACTAGAGGATCAGAGAGGCGATACCGCCTCCGAATATTGTACCACCAGCTGGAGCAAGCGCATTCGTATAGACCCCCACATACACAAAATAAGGGGTGCAGCCACCAGTCTTGTGCTTGACAAGCTGTAAAAATGCAATCAACAAGAATTTTCAAAATATGCAAAAAATATATATAACTAAAAATGGTGCAATCAAAGTTAAGTTCATTGTAAGGTAGGTCAAAGGTCAATTTCAAGGTCACAGTAAATTGCCAGTATATGACTTCCTATCCAACTTCAATAGTAACTATGGACCTATCTCTGCCAGTTTTGGAGATAAAAGGGAAGCAAAATTTGCAAAGTTCAGTTCATGGTGAAAAGTAGGTCAAAGGTCAATTTCAAGGTCACA